CCTGTCCTGATCGGCTATTGCTAGGACTGGGAATTGTATCAAGATCTGTTTGATACCATCAAAGGAGCGCTGACATTCAGCATTCCATAACCACCTCTCGTTCTTTTTCAACAAACGAGAGAGGTGTACAGTCATCTCGGCGTAATTGCGTGAATACTTATGCAAATACGCCGCTAGCCCAAGGAATTTTCGAAGACCTTTGACATCAACCGGCACAGGCCAGTCGGTGATCGCCTTGATCTTTTCGGGATCAGGACGTACACCGTTCTTACCAACGATGCACCCAAGAAGTGGTATTTCGCTTGCTGCAAATATACACTTCATGATGTTTGCATACAATCGACGCTTTCGCATGATTGTAAGAACCTGTCGGACGTGGTACCTGTGCACCTCAACGTCCGACTTTCCATCCATAGCTCGACTATGGATGAATATGTCATCGAAATATCTCGGCGCGAATTCTCGTACTGGTCTCAACAGATGTGATACACATCTGTTAAACGTGGCAGGGGCATTACTAAGCCCTTGTGGCATTACTAGCCATTCCCAGAGCATGCCGCTAGGCGTGCTAACTGCGGTATAGGATAGATCCCGTTCTCGCATAAGGATTTGATAGAAGCCATCCATCAAATCCATGGACGAAAAGATGGTACGCTTTGACGTACCATCAATGATTACGTCCTTCCTTGGTATCGGCGTCTGAGCCGGTACCGTTGCAGCATTCAACTTGTTAAATGCGTGCACTATCCGCCACCCTCCTGTTGCTTTTCGCACACAAAAGGTCGGAGAGCTATGTAGGGAAGTTGATTCCCTCACATGGCCCGCAGCTAAACGATCGGCAAACAACTTGTCGATCGCAAGCACTTGTTCACGAGGCAGTGGCCACTGCTTCATGACACAGTACTTCGAGCCTGGTTTAAGCTCGACCTCGTGTCGAATACATTTATCCTTCGGTAACGCGCACGGAACAGTTTCAGGGAATACATCCTTGAATTCAACCAAATCTTCATAGAGAGGATTTGTCTTGAGCGATTCCTACGATTGGGAGTCATATCGCTCAATTCGTGTCTTTTGATCTAGGACACTCTCGTCCATAGATGAACTCCTGAGAACTCTCTCGTTCTCAGTGAACACTGTTGCTGACCTTATGTCGGCTACACACTCGTCGTCAGCGACGAGTACGCAGATCTGCTTGACTTTGCCGCTACGTATATCACGCAAGAACCTTTTATGTTAGAGCGTTGGCAACTGAGTGATCTCCGAAGTTAACTTCGGAGGAGTAATCAGATCAAGTGTATAAGCGCCTACACTTGATCGATCATTGACTATGACATTCAAGGTCTCTGTCATTTCCTGGGGACTTATTCCCTCAGGCCTCGAAGGACTTATTCCTTCAGCTTCCCGGGGACTTATTCCCACGGGTTTCGGGGAACTTATTTCCGCCGTATTTGTAATATCGGGACTTATTCCCTTTACTTCCTCTAGCTGGGGTTGCGCAACCACAGCGAGATCCTCTACGAAAGACTCTCCAGTCGATCTAGGATTATCGTTTCGCTTAACCTGAGCGATCGATTGTTTCTCTTCTAGATGTCCCCCGCTAGGGATACATCTTTGTCCCGGTCCACTCGACTTATTCGAGTAATGGACCTTCGGCGCAGCCCGTGTTTCCTCACAGCCGCCGAAAGCTTGCTCCGAAGTGTAACTGTTTGTTACAATAAAATTTTGGTGCAGTCATACTAACGACCGTACCACAAGTGAGGCCATCGTACTCACTCGTAGCACATCCACACGCTTGCGGACGCTCCAAAACGTTCATCAGATGGTCATCTGATGAACAAGCGGCAGGCATCGTTACTGTTCGATGTTGCCAGTTAACCCGTGGTTCGTACCTTCTGAGCCACGGTACTCCAAGGATGACATTAGATTTGCATCCAAATCCAATACGACAAAGTCATCATCATATTGAGTATCTTCTAGCGCATAGTGAATCTTCACTGAACGCTTCATGACGGTTACGGATGCGCCTGTCGTAAGACGTACCGTCATCCTCGTAGGAGGTGTGTCACATTCACTGAATTTAAAGTGACCATCTTCTAGTGATTGGCGTCGCACAAAATTGTTGGACGCCCCACAATCGACTAGAGCTCGAAGAGACAACTCATTTGTCACTTCGAGTTTCAAGGTAATGAGTGAGATCTCATTACCTAGAGCAGCAACGCACAACGTTTGTGTGTTGGGAGCAACCTTCATCAAGAGGCCTACAAATTCTCTTGACGTTGCTGGATCAGTAGGGTGCTCCGCACCTACTGATCCCGTCCTTTTGTTTGAAGGTCCATCCCGTTGTTGCGTCTTTGCACCAACTTCGGACCCTCGTCCCTGCCCCTTTCTCATGGGTGGACGGTCATTACGCCCAGTGTCGCGAGACACTGGACGAGGGGCACTACACTCGTAAGCGTAGTGTCCTGTCTTTTGACATCTGTTGCATCTCTGCAACTTCTTGTAGTCTGTAGAGCGAGCCTTCTCGCTCTCTACATAACAGAGTTCCATCGGCTCTGGACCTCCGCTGTCATATCGTCTCGGTGGAAGATACGATGTCGAGCTGGCGCGAGCCTGTCTCAGAATGAAGTCTTCCTGTTCCGCAATGGAAATGGCTTGTTCTAGTGAATCTAGTTCAAGTAGAAACAGGTGAGTCTTGACGGGACCATCCGCAAGACCCTGTATGAACACCGAAACCAACGTGGTTCGTCAACCGGATTGGAACTTTTACAACTCGTAAGATGTCGTATATGTTGCGCGTAAGCGTGAACAGCACGCTTACCCTGTTTGAGCTTCAAGAGTTCAGTTCGAGCTCTGAACTCAGCTCTTGGCGGTTCAAAAGTTTGTCTGAGCCGCGACTTGAAGACTTCCAACGACCCAAACGCATATGGGTCGTGCAACTTGAGCCCCAAAGCCCAAGTCTTGGCACGCACTGCCAGATTTGACTGGGCAAATGCAACTTGCATATCCCCGTCGTCGATGCGACGCGCCCTTATGGCGTCATCCAATTCGACGAACCATCTCAAGAGGGAGTCCTCTTCGACTCCTCTATACTTAGAGATGTCAATCTTCAAGGTCTCGGGTCGACGCAAATGCATCGACCCACCAGCAGCAGCCTGCTGCTGTCTCAACAGTTCAAACTGTTGAGAAACCTGTTCTTTAAACAGCTCTGATTGTTGAGAACCTTGTTGGTGAAGCAAGGCTACATTCTCGCGTTCAGCGTCAAGTTCATTTTGAATGAACTTGGCGATAGTAGCATGTTGGGCATCTCTATTGAGAGCCTCTAGCATGACGCTAACAGCATGGATGCCCATAGTTGAACCCATTCGTTCAACCGCATCTCATTCGACATCGCTCAAATGGGAGTAGCCGTCACGCGTAGCGTGAAAGCTTTGGTCATCTTCATCATCCAACATATTCATGTTAGATGTGAACGTGGTCCTTGGACGGACTACGAAGTGCTACCAGGTGTAACGGGGCACCCTCAAGCTTGTACTGATTACAGTACAAGCTACTTATTCTGATGACAGAATAAGGCGGTGCCTCGGAACTTCACGTACACTCGTACGTGCAGAGGAAGACGGTAAGAAGAATCGAGTACTTAGTTTAAGTAAAACGTAGAACTGTATTTTTCATAGTTAATGCATGTTAATAAATCACTATTTATCCTCATCTAACTATGTCTAAATACAAATGTGTATGTCAACCATCTGCTCACCACTCATTGCGTGCGTCTGTCGTGGTGCGCATTCGTTGGTTGATATAATGGCCTATATCAACCAATTAGAAACTACTCGAAAGTGCTGCAGAATATGGTCCTTATGACAATATTCTGAGAATTGACTCTTATAGTTATATTCTATTAACAATTTCTTATAAATTGTTATGTAACGATTCACCCCGTTACATCTGACCTCAAACGACAAATCTACTGCGTTTCTATACATTCCACTGCTGCACCATATAATGATGACAAATTTGTCGAATGCGAGTGAACGAATCCGCCAAATCGTCGGAAAACAGCACTGCGGTGATAGCGATCGAGTCTATAGCTTGTTTGTTTATACACGTGCGTGTCTTTACATGTTTAGTGTTGTGCGTCCACGAGGAGAAGGTCTCGTTTACACATCGCTGAAACGTTTTCTAGTTGCTTGTTGTCGTACTAACATAAGCGCAATGACAGATGACTGGTTACATCAGCTCGATAAATCACACTTAGCTTTCCCAGCACCATCGCGAGGCTCAAGCAACGCGCGACAAAATGGGGGCGATCCACACGGATGCGACAGGTGTTTTTGGTCGCTATGTCTCCGTCTTGATGCGCTTGTCGAATCATTTTTGCTATACTGACATCCTCAACTGGCACTCGTGCTTTCCAGAACAACCGCTGGCAAGGTCTTGTTACCCCACAAAATTCTTGGCAAACTCTTGAAAGCAATCGTACGTGTGTATGGTTTCGAGCGTGTGCAACATGCAGTTGTAACGGGGTGAATCGTTACATAACAATTTATAAGAAATTGTTAATAGAATATAACTATAAGAGTTATATTCTCAGAATATTGTCATAAGGACAATATCCTGTAGCACTTCCAAGTAGTTCCTAATTGGTTGATATAGGCCATTATATCAACCAACGAAGACGCGCCACGACAGACGCACGCAATGAGTGGTGAGCAGATAACTGATTTACACATTTGTATTTAGACATAGTTAGATGAAGATAAATAGTGATTTATTGCAGACATTAACTATTATAAATACAGTTCTACTTTTTACTCTAACCGAGTACTCGCTTCTTCTTACCGTCTTCCTCTGCACGTACGAGTGTACGTGAAGTTACGAGGCACCGCCTTATTCTGTTATCAGAATAAGTAGCTTGTACTGTCACCAGTACAAGCTTCAGGGTGCCCCGTTACACCTGGTAGCACTTCGTAGTCCGTCCAAGGACCGCGTTCACATCCAACATGAATATGTTGGATGATGAAGATGACCAAAGCTTTCACGCTACGCGTGACGGCTACTCCCATTTGAGCGATGTCGAATGGGATGCGGTTGAACGAATGGGTTCGACCATGGGCATCCATGCTGTTAGCGTCATGCTAGAGGCTCTCAATAGAGATGCCCAACATGCTACTATCGCCAAGTTCATTCAAAATGAACTTGACGCAGAACGCGAGAAAGTAGCCTTGCTTCACCAACAAGGTTCTCAACAAGCAGAGTTGTTGAGAGAACAAGGTGCTCAACAGTTTGAACTGTTGAGACAGCAGCAAGCTGCTGCTGGCGGGTCGATGCACTCGCGTCGACCCGAGACTTTGAAGATTGACATCTCAAAGTATAGAGGGGTCGAAGAAGACTCCCTCTTGAGATGGTTCGTCGAATTGGATGACGCCATAAGGGCGCGTCGCATCGACGACGGGGATATGCAAGTTGCATTTGCCCAGTCAAATCTGGCAGGACGTGCCAAGACTTGGGCACTGGGGCTCAAGCTGCACGACCCATACGCGTTTGGGTCGTTGGAAGTCTTCAAGTCGCGGCTCAGACAAACGTTTGAACCGCCTAGAGCTGAGTTCAGAGCTCGAACCGAACTCTTGAAGCTCAAGCAGGGTAAGCGTGATGTGCACGCTTACGCTCAACATATACGACATCTCACGAGTTGTATAAGTTCCAATCCGGTGGATGAACACACGTTGGTTTCGGTGTTCATGCAGGGTCTTGCGGATGGTCCCGTCAAGACTCACCTGTTCCGGCTTGAACTAGATTCACTAGAACAAGCCATTTCCATTGCGGAGCAGGAAGACTTCAGTCTGAGACAGGCTCGCGCCAGCTCGACATCATATCGTCAACCGAGACGATATGACAACGGAGGTCCAGAGCCGATGGAACTCTGTTATGTAGAGAGCGAGAAGGTTCGCTCTACAGGCTACAAGAAGTTGCAGAGATGCAACAGATGTCAGAAGACAGGACACTACGCTTACGAGTGTAGTGCCCCTCGTCCAGTGTCTCGCGACACTGGGCGTAGTGACCGTCCACCCATGAGAAAGGGGCAGGGACGAGGGTCCGCAGTTGGTGCAAAGACGCAACAACGGGATGGACCGTCAAAAAACGGACAGGATCAGTAGGTGCGGAGCACCCTACTGATCCAGCAACGTCAAGAGAATTTGTAGGCCTCTTGATGAAGGTTGCTCCCAACACACAGACATTGTGCGTTGCTGCTCTAGGTAATGAGATCTCACTCATTACCTTGAAACTCGAAGTGACGAATAAGTTGTCCCTTCGAGCTCTAGTCGATTGTGGGGCGTCCAACAATTTTGTGCGACGCCAATCGCTAGAAGATGGTCACTTTAAATTCAGTGAATGTGACACACCTCCTACGAGGATGACGGTACGTCTTGCGACAGGCGCATCCGTAATCCGTCATGAAGCGTATAGTGAAGATTCACTATACGCTAGAAGATACCCAATATGACGATGACTTTATCGTATTGGATTTGGATGACAAATTTGATGTCATCCTTGGAATACCGTGGCTCAGAAGGTACGAACCACGGGTAAACTGGCAACATCGGACAGTAACGATGCCTGCCGCTTGTTCATCAGATGGCCATCTGATGAACGTTTTGGAGCGTCCACAAGCGTGTGGATGTACTACGAGTGAGTGCGATGGCCTCACTTGTGGTACGGTCGTTAGTACGACTGCACAAAACCTTAGTGTACCAAACGGTTACACTTCGGAGCAAAGTTCCGGCGGCTGTGAGGAAACACAGGCTGCGCCGAAGGTCCACCACTCGAATAAGTCGGGTGGACTGGGACAAAGATGTATCCCTAGAGGGGAACATCTAGAAGAGAAACAATCGATCGCTCAGGTTAAGCGAAACGATAATCCTAGATCGACTGGAGAGTCTTTCGTAGAGGATCTCGCTGTGGTTGCGCAACCCCAGCTAGAGGAAGTAAAGGGAATAAGTCCCAAGATTACAAATACGGCGGAAATAAGTTCCCCGAAACCCGCGGGAATAAGTCCCCGGGAAGACGAAGGAATAAGTCCTTCGAAGCCTGAGGGAATAAGTCCCCAGGAAATGACAGAGACATTGAATGTCATAGTCAATAACGGATCATGTGTAGGCGCTTATACACTTGATCTGATTGCGCCTCCGAAGTTAACTTCGGAGATCACTCAGTTGCCAACGCTCGAACATAAAAGGTTCTTGCGTGATCTGCGTAGTGGCAAAGTCAAGCAGATCTGCATACTCGTCGCTGACGACGAGTGTGTAACCGACATAAGGTCAGCAACAGTGTTTACTGAGAACGAGAGAGTTCTCAGTAGTTCATCTATGGACGAGAGTGTCCTAGATGAAAAGACACGAATTGAGCGATATGAGTCCCAATCATGGGAATCGCTCAAGGAAAACCCTCTCTATGAGGATTTGGTTGAATTCAAGGATGTATTCCCTGAAACTGTTCCGTGCGAATTACCGAAGGATAAAGGTATTCGACACGAAGTCGAGCTTAAACCAGGCTCGAAGTACTGTGTCATGAAGCAGTGGCCACTGCCTCGTGAACAAGTACTTGCGATCGACAAGTTCTTTGCCGATCGTTTAGCAGCGGGCCATGTGAGGGAATCAACTTCCCCACATAGCTCTCCGACCTTCTGTGTGCGAAAAGCAACAGGAGGGTGGCGGATAGTGCACGCGTTTAACAAATTGAACGCTGCAACGGTACCGGCTCAGACGCCGATACCGAGGAAGGACGTAATCATTGATGGTATGTCAAAGAGTACCATCTTTTCGTCCATGGATTTGATGGATGGCTTCTATCAAATCCTAATGCGGGAACGGGATATACCCTATACCGCAGTTAGCACGCCTAGCGGCATGCTCTGGGAATGGCTAGTAATGCCACAAGGGCTCAGTAATGCCCCTGCCACGTTCAACAGGTGTGTATCACATCTGTTGAGGCCAGTACGAGAATTCGCGCCGAGTTATTTCGATGACGTATTCATCCATAGTCGAGCTATGGATGGAAGATCGGACGTTGAGGTTCACAGGTACCACGTCCGACAAGTTCTTACAATCATGCGAAAGCATCAATTGTATGCAAACCTCAAGAAGTGTATATTTGCAGCAAGCGAAATACCACTTCTTGGGTGCATCGTTGGTAAGAACGGTGTACGTCCTGATCCCGAAAAGATCAAGGCGATCACCGACTGGCCTGTGCCGGTCGATGTCAAAGGTCTTCGAAAATTCCTTGGGCTAGCGGCGTATTTGCATAAGTATTCACGCAATTACGCCGAGATGACTGTACACCTCTCTCGTTTGTTGAAAAAGAACGAGAGGTGGTTATGGAACGCTGAATGTCAACGCTCCTTTGAGGGTATCAAGCAGAGCTTGATACAATCCCCAGTCCTAGCAATAGCCGATCAGGACAGGCCATTTCATGTGGTCTGTGATGCCAGCGATTTTGCAATCGGCTGTGCATTAATGCAGTACGACCTTGAAGGCGTTGAACGCGTCGTCTGCTATCAGTCGCGTCAGCTGCAACCAGCTGAGCGGAACTATCCAGTGCATGACAAGGAACTCCTTGCCATGAAGTATGCACTCGCGAAGTTCAGAGTCTATCTATTAGGAGATAGACCCTTCGTTGTTTACACTGACCATGCGTCCTTACGCACGGCAGTGAACAGCCCGCACCTTTCACAACGAATGGCGCGGTGGTTGTCATTCTTTGCAGAATACAACTTTACGGTCGAGTACAAACCAGGACGACTTAATGTCGTCGCTGATGCACTCTCACGTCGTCCCGACTTTGAAACAGTCGCGAAACCCAACAGTGAGACAGTCACTGTTGCGGTTATGACGTCCTCAGTTCCATCTACAACGTTGTATGATGATGTGAGGCGGGCATACGCCCAAGATGGTGAGATAGTGAAGTTGTTGTCACATCTCTCCCAACCATCTCGAGAATCGTTGAAACGATTGTCGTCTGCGTATCGATCTGCATCAGATCGATACACTACTCGTAACGGTTTACTGTACTATACAGCCGTTTCTGGTGACACACCACGTGTTGTCATTCCAGATGATACTGATCTGCGTTTGCGGATCATGTTCGAGTATCACGATGCTCCTATAGGAGGACATCGTGGCCGAGAGAAAACATATCTCACGGTAAGTCGAGACTTTTACTGGCCCCGCCAGTATCAGTTTGTGCGAAAGTATGTTCGCGCATGCGAAGTCTGCCAACGAGTGAAGTCAAGTCCTTCACTGCGTGCACCTTTACAGCCTCTACCGGTTCCGGCTGAGTGCTGGGAATCCATCTCAATGGATTTCGTCTTCGGGTTACCCAAAGACGCACGCGGGAATACGGGTATTCTCGTATTTGTTGACAGATTCAGCAAAATGGTACACCTTGTGGCTGTACCAGAGACAATCACGGCAAGTGGCTGTGCTTGTGTCTTTATTGACACCATCTTCCGACTTCATGGGTTGCCCCGTGAACTCGTTTCAGACAGAGATCCACGATTCACTGCTGATTTCTGGCGTTCCGTGTTCAAATCACTCGGAACGCGCTTGAAGATGTCAACATCTGATCATCCAGAGTCAGATGGTCAGACGGAACGTGCCAATCGTGTCCTTGAAGAGATACTTCGAGGATACGTACACTCCTTTAAGAGTTGGAGTGAGTTTTTGCCAATGGTAGAGTTTGCCATCAACAACTCGGTGCATGCGTCCACGACACATACACCGTTTTACGTGAATGGCTTGCGCCATCCGCGTGTACCCACCTTACTAGAGTGTAACTCTGGTTTAAGGGGGGAGGGACTCGCGCGAGCAAAAACCGATTTGGTTCACGCTCATCACGCTCTGACGAAGAAGTCATTGCGTTTGATGCCGATATCGATAACATCGATATCGAAGAAGATGATGCCAGTGAGAGTGCGGAAGCCCTCACTGAAGACAATGATCCCAGTGAGAGTGCGGAAGCCCTCACTGAAGAAAAGGTTGTTGTCGCTGCAGTGCGCTCACAGCACACTGAAGCTAACGAGTCATCAGATGAGTTCATACTGGCTCGTGAAACGGTAGTCCGTTTTGTGCAAGACTCCATCGCCGAAGCGGTGGATAAGCAAAAGCAAAACGCTGACAAGAATGGAAGGGCAAACACTCTTTTATTTAATAAAGGTGACTTAGTCCTACTGTCTACGGTTAATCTACCAAAACATGTAGTGACTAATTTGGGTAGCAGTAAACTACTACCCAAGTACATTGGCCCATTTCGTGTATTGCACCGCCTAGGCAATGCATACACGATCGAGTTACCACGTAAGATGCGAACGCATCCCACGTTTTACGTTGGTCGGCTTAAGCCGTACCATCAGTACGCTGTATCTTCCGATGAAGAACGCCCTTGCGCTCAAGCATCTCGCAGAGGGCCTTGTGCTCCCGATGGTGGCCATCGACAAGGGTCTGAAGAGCAGTTATCTCAGCCCGAGACCGATCAACAATCCCACGAGCTACCCTTAGCTCGTCACGAAGAGATGTCAGAGATCTCTCGTTCTCAAGCTGAGCAAAGGCAAACTCAGCTCGATGCTTCGAGGCAGTGTCCACCATCTGGAGACGCCTATTCCGCTCATGCTCGAGATCGTCGCGTAACCCTTGCGTTACGCGATCAAAGAAGCTCTCGGGAACACACCGATCCACATGATCGTGTGGAGAGCGTCTTTCCTCCTCCTCCACCTCCATTAGAGGACTCTCGCGGTGGCCAGCGCTATCTAGTTGAGCAGCTGTTGAACCACCGCGACGTGAACGGACGTCGGACGAGTTACCTCGTCCGGTGGCGCGGCTATCCCCCGTCCTGGGATTCTTGGGAGCCCCGCTCCCAATTGATGGTTGACGTACTGGGTCTGGTCGAGCAGTACGACGCGACACATCCTGTGCCGCAGAAGGACCGCCGGAGAAAGTCTTCCCGGCACGGTCGTAAAGGGATTTCAGGTTGTCAATCCCTTCGTACATCTCAGTAGAGACACGTACGCGCCACCACGGGCTGGTAAGGAGGTAAGCCTCCTTAGGTGCTCGTGCAGAGTTGTTCACACAACATGGGCACGAGTCTCCCCAAGAGAGGCAGGGTA